CCCCCACCCTCACCGCTTTAACTCTATTCATACATGTTTCTTAACTGACAAAGTAACTGCTTGAAACCGTTAAGGCTGCTTTAGAATCTTCGTCGGGTGGTTGGCGGGTGCCCTGGTGTAGTTTGCTTTTTATTTCCTAACCCTATCAAACATATTATTATAATATTGTCCAAATTTCTCCTTTTTCCCTTTTTTTCGTGTTTGTTACTCTCTTCTAACACTTCTATCCTTCGGCACTATTTGACAGCAAGTGCCGTAAAACTCCGATTATGACAAACAAATCTTCCGTCTCCAGTTGCGAGAATTGAACACATGCTCTTGCTTGTTCATCCAATCACTGTTGTCACCACTTACAACGATTGTAATATAACAGCAATCAAATTCTTTAAGGCTCAGCAAAGGATGAGCCCATTCCCACAGTCCTTTATTAATGGAATTCTTCTTGTAAACAGGTAAACGATTTTTAAAAAGAACTCGTGAAAATTGGAACTAAGAGGGCTCATGCTCTGCAAGCCCCGACAATGGGGTGAAAGTTCATAACACACTTCCCCCAGTTGGCCTAACCAACACACTTGTTGTTACTTGGAACATAAAACAATGTTTAACACTACAAACCTTCTGTCTGCCTGCGCCTATAACAGGAGTTAGGCAAACCTGTTTCTCTCTGTGTTGTGATCCTTTCCTCAGCTTTGGGTTGGGGCCCCGATGCGTTGGAATCTCACACGTTACACACAATTGAATCGAGGCTCTAACTAGCTTTTTCTCCACCTATACTCTCAGCAGGCCTCCTCTGCCTTCCTGCAGCTCTCCCCTCTAAAGTCTCACCTGTAGTAACCCAGACTGCTTTTATAAACTTGCAAACAATACAACTGAACTGAGACTCACATTTTACTCACTCTCACACTTTCAGCCAAACAATACAATAGGCTAGGCCTAACCGCCTGCTACAACCAAAAACAACCAAATAGACCACAACACTCTTTGGGCCATTGTTAGGAACAGCTAGCTTTCTGCGATTACGCACAACTCACACAAAACATACACACTCTCACACACACCCAGGCCCTACTCTGAACCGATGATACTTTATCTGTGAACTCAATCTACCCTCATTTCTGAACCGCACCCACAATACTTTGATCCATCAACCGGCACTAAGACCATTCCGAAAACTTAAGACATCCAATGCCGCACTATTTCTCTCCTTGACATATACAAGGACAGATGAAAAGATGACGAAAGCTTTCAAGTATCTCAATTGCTTTTAATGCGATGGATTTGGAATATTTCTTACAGTCCATCAAAATACTCTTCACGACTTTGTATGCAGGATTTCAGCTTCCGTGATCACTTTTGGAAGGTATAACAGTAGTCAGCTTTTCACAGCTCTGAAATTACTTGCTAGGTCCTGAATGCTGTCAAACTTTCGTCCAGCAAACTTATCTTTCGGAGTGGGAAATAGCCAGAAGTCACAGTGAGCTAAGTCAGGACTGTAGGCTGAATGAGACAAAACTTGGATCTCTTACTCTTGAATACACATAGTTGTTGCCTCTGTTTTGTGGGGCGTTGTATTGTCGCGGAGGAGCATTGTTCAACAGAATCTGATCTTTAGTCTCTGCTTACCAACGGCACTTTTCAACTGGGGAAGTACCTTTTGTGTATAGTAATAAGAAGTCAAAAGTATCATAACGTGGCATGATACCAACCACAAGAGGATCACTGCAATTGACATGGAAAGTATAGAGTCTCTCTCTGCTTTGAAATTATGGACGCAAAACGACAGGCATATCTCCTCTTTCATCTGTCCACACGCAATCCAGACGATCTGATGGATTTCCAAAGATGGGAACTCTTGTTTCGTATCTCTCTCCCCCTCTCCCCCTCTCTCTCTCTCGCTCTCTCTCTCTCTCTCTCTCT